TCCATTTCCTCTTCCTGTAATGTTTTGTCAAGGATTTTTTGAAGAGATGGTTTTCTAGCTGCAAATTCTTTTAACTTTTGTTTATCGTGGAAGGTTTTAATTTCATCTTTTATCCTGAAGCTTAATTTCGCTGGACTTTAAAAAAATTTTTTTTTTGTTACCAGAGATTGAACCCAGGAGCACTTAACCACTGAGCCACATTCCCAGCCTTTTAAAAGAATTTTTATTTTAAGACAGGGTCTCACTAAGTTCCTTAGGACTTTACCCTCCTAAGCTGCCAAGATTGCAGATGTGTGCCACTATACCCAACTCATTGTGACTTTAAATTGTACATTACTATCCCAGCATGGTGGCAAGAATCTGTAATCCCAGCTACTTGGGAGACTGAGACAGAAGGATAGCAAGTTGGAAGCCAGCATTGGCAACTTAGTGAGGCCTGTATCAAGATTAAAAAAAATTTAAAAGGGTTGGGAATATAGCTCAGTGGTAGAGTACTCCTGGGCTCAATCCTCAGTACCTCAAAAAATAAAAATAAATAAATTATACATTACTTTTTGATAACAATTATTTTGTTGTTGTAATAGCATTATTGAGATATAAGTCTTATACTACACAGTTCACTGACTTATAAGTATACAACTCAGTGATTTTTAATATATTCACAGAAACGTGCAACCATCATCACAGAGCCTTCTGGCTTCCATCATTTCTGATGAGAAGTCCACTGTTAATCTTATTGGGGTTCTTTTGTAAGTGGAAAATTTTTTTTTCCTTTCTTGCTTTCCAATATTTTTTCCTTGTGTTTGGCTTTCAGCAAATTTTATTGTGGTATTTGTAAATCTCTGCATTTATTCTACTTGGAGTTTGTTCAGTGCCCTATGTATGTAAATTAATATTTTTCATTGAGAAGGGTTTTTAAAATATTTTTTAGTTGATTATACATATACAGTGCCTTTCCTTTGTTTATATGATGCTGAGGATCAAACCCCCATATGTGCTAGGCAAGTGCTCTGCCACTGAGCTACAACTCCAGCCCTGAGAAATTTTTCAAATGTATTTTTTCTGTTCCTTTTTTCCTCTCCTTCTGGTACTTATCTTATATATACAATATGTTTAATGGTGTCCTACATTTCTCTGAGGCTCTGTTAATTTTTCTCCACCTCTTTTTCTCTCTAAAATTCGCACAGTCTCTGTTGATAAACTATTTCAAGTTCACCAATTCTTTTTTCTTTAAGACTACTTTTGAAGCCCTTTAGTGGATTTTCACTAATTGTAGTTCTCAACACTAAAATTTCTGTTGGATTCTTTTTTATAATTCTTGTTATTCTCTGTTTGACCAAAGCATTAACATTGTGCTTTTGTTTACTTATTTGGTGGAGGTGGGGTGTTGCTTTTCTGCAATACTAAGGATTGAACCCAAGGCCTTGTGCATGCTAGGCAAACACTGAAGTGTATCCCCAGCCCTGTTTACTTTGAGACAGTTTCTTGCTAAGTTCCAGACTGGCCTCAAATTTTCAATCCTCCTGCCTCAGATTCCTGAGTAGCTTGGATTTCAGGCATGGTTTTCTTTAGTTCTTTGAGTATATTTACATGATTAATTTGAACTCTGAAGTCTGTGCTTATTAATTCCAACATATGGTTGCTTTCACAGGCAGTTTCTGTTGCTTGGTTTTTTGTTTTGTTTTGTATTTTGCTAGTGTTTGGGTCATACTCTTATGCTTCTTAAAATGTTTTACCTTTTTTTTTGTTGGAAACTGAATGTTTTAGATAATATAGTAACTCTTGGCACTGACCCCCACACATGGTTTTTTATTGTTATTTGCTTATTTCCTTCTGTAGTGACTGGCTAAATTCTTGTATTGAAATCTATTTATTCAACTCCCACCCCTGGCCTGCAGTGTGAAGCCTCTGTTGTTTCTCAAGGGCACAAACTCCATATGTTCACAGTCACCTGGGGTGACAGTGGTTTTTATTTTTTATTTTTTTATTTTTGAGAGAGAGAGAGAGAGAGAGAGAGAGAGAGAGAGAGAGAATTTTTAATATTTATTTTTTAGTTTTCGGCAGACACAACATCTTTGTTTGTATGTGGTGCTGAGGATCAAACCCGGGCCGCACGCATGCCAGGTGTTCGCACTACCGCTTGAGCCACATCCCCAGCCCAATGACAGTGGTTTTTAACAGGGCTTCTTTTAGTTGTCTTTCTGACCATACCCAGCTTTTAAATTCCACTAATTGCTCCTGATTGTTCTATTGTTTTTAATAATGTCCTGGGGTATAAATTGCCACATGAATTTATCCAATCAAATTAGGCCTCCTTTAAAGGGATAATTGCAAAGACCAGTGTTTGAGTTTTTTCTGAAGCTAGGGCCTAGTTCAGTGGTCTAGTGCTTGTCTAGCATTTATAAAGCTCAAGGGGTACAATCCCAGCACCACGAAGAGAGAGAGGGATGTTTCTTCTGATCCTATGTGGCTTCTCCCTGCTATCTCTGCTTGGTTATCTGTTGTATAGTAGTCAGCTGCAGATGAAGTCAGTTCCATTGATGATAGAATTGTAGCCCTCTTCTGTATGACCTGCCTCTCCCTAGGAAGTATCTCTGAGCTTAGATAACATAGAATGGGGACAACATTGTGCCTTCCCTCTGAGGGGCATGGCAACCTCAGGTCTCCTAGGTTTGCCTTTTCTAGTGCAGAACCCCAACCCCACAAGCTAGGGCCAGAGTAATCAAGGCCTCAGCATTCTAGGTGGCACCACACCAAAAACAGCCTCCATCTCATGAGTGGGAACTATGTGGAAGAAAAAGCCCTTACCTCTCAGCCACACTTACCTGGAACTTAGCTTCAGCAGCATCTAGCTAAAAACAGAATAAGAAGTGCTGACATCTGGTTCTCCCAGCAAGTAAGGCTGCCAGCTGGGAGCTAAGGGAGAGTGAGCCCTATGTAGCTGCACCAATCTCACAAAACCTGTGCTGGGAAGAGAGACAGAGGGAGTGGGTCTAGGTCCATATACCACAGATTCCCATTTTATTTACAGAGTTTTAGTAGATCTTCTTGAATAAATGCTTCTTTATTTGCTGTATGCCTTTAGGATCACTTCCAGAGACTAAATGATTGGTTTGGGGGGGGTTGTTATTTAATTGAAAGAATTTTCACCAGTTTTACTGCAGTGTGAGTCTACAGAGCTCCTTACACTGTCATACCAGAAGTAGAACTCTAAGCTGTTTAACATACTGTCTTGTTGATATTATTCATAATTGCTCAAAGTGGTCATGTATTGGTATTACTACCTCCTCCATAGTGTATATGAGTGACTTTAAGGTACTATCTCTGATCATTATTCCCTATAGAACTGGGGTAGCCCTTAGTAACATTTTGTAGCACTGTCACTGTCTTTTTTAGTTTTTATTGTATTTTCAACATTTTGTGAGTTGAAGTGTCAGTATCTTCTTTTTTCATATACTGCAGTGCCATTGTTTTCCCAGAAGGGTGAAATCTCCTTTATCTGTTACTGGCCACATTCTGGGAAGGACACTTGAACCACTAGAAGTTTTAGTCCAAAATATTCATTCTTCACAACATAGGAATTTTCTCTTTTTTAATATTTATTTTTTAGTTTTAGGTGGACACAATATCTTTATTTTATTTTTATGTGGTGCTGAGAATCGAACCCAGTGCCTCATGCATGCTAGGCGAGCACGCTACCACTTGAGTGCTCCAATATAGGAATTTTCTATAACATTCTTTACTATGTATGTACAGTTATAATTTTAGATTAGGCTACTTGTTTGGGAGATGAGGACAGAGAAAGGAAAAAAGTATAGGCAGAAAAAAAGAATGATCATGCTTATTCATTCTTCAGCCAGACATGTCTCATGCCTTTCAGCCTCAACCCTTGACAGTTCTGTTTTTATGTTTCCCTTCCTGCTCTTCCCTCATTGGGATCTCTGTCTGAAGACAACCTCAGCTGCCCTTCTTTGTTTTGGTGACAATGGACACATCTGAGGCTCTAGCCAGCACTATACTACTCATCCTCTGTGGCTTGGGGCTTCCTCCTAAGGCTAATGTGTGGCCTCACCTAGTCATCCACACACTTTGTATTATAGGATTTGGTAGTATTTTTTCCATTTACTCTAGGCCATTTGAGAATATTCTTTTTTTTTTTTTTAAAAAAGAGAGAATGAGAGAGGAGAGAGAAAGAGCGAGAGAATTTTTAATATTTATTTTTTAGTTCTCGGCGGACAGAACATCTTTGTTGGTATGTGGTGCTGAGGATCGAACCTGGGCCGCACGCATGCCAGGCAAGCGCGCTACCGCTTGAGCCACATCCCCAGCCCCTTGAGAATATTCTTAATAAAAATCATTTACTTGGTGTGATTTTCCTGCTGCTACTTCTGGAATCTGTGGGATAGTGTTGACTGACCTCCCGTGTATATTGACTGCTTCACTCAGTATTGTTCTCTTTCCCAGGATGCTTCAGGATGAAACGCCATAAGACTCTCACCAGCAGTGACAGTTCAGACGAGTGTGAGTAGAATGGCAACTAGTAACCATAATATCTATACCCCTTGAGGATTTCTTCTTTGATTTGAGAATAAGCCATTTCATGTATCTTCTCATAGTTAAAAAAATAATATTTCTGGGAAGAAAAGTTCAGAGTCCCTTTTTCCTACTCATTTAAATTTCATTATAGATAGATAAATTAGGTGGAAGAGTCGGTTTTTTATGGCATATAACATTGTTTTTTGCTTTTATTTTTCCTAAAAAGCAAAAGCCAAATCTAATAATGCTTTAACAGAGTTTCTTTAGAAAAGAAAGTAAGTATAGGAGCATAAATTGTAAACTCTGATTCTAATTGTAGCTAGGGTACTAAATGTTTGATTGTAGGTCATTGTTTATAAAGGCCCTAATACCAGCCTTTGAGGAAGTGCTTAAGGATACACAGAATATGTGCTCCATATTTTTAATTTTTCCAGATACATTTTCTCTAGGAAATTCCAAAATACAATGAGGTGTAATTACACCAAATTGAATCTTTCCAGCCTTGGCATTATTGAAGATTTTGCAGTTGAGAAGGTCACCTATAAATGTTATTAAACTCCATTGTGAGACTCTCTTGGGTACAGTTATTTTATGTAGTAGTAAGAGATCTCTGTTGTCTTGTCTATCATATATTTCATAATTCTCTTGGATGGCATTTAGTTTTATGTCATTTAGTTACATTAGTGGGTAGTACATCTTAGTATTTTTTTCTAATTATCTTTTACAGGTCCTTCCACTTCCTTTACTCCTGGCCCAATGTATAGGAGCAAGTCAAAAAATCCAAAAGAACACAAGAAACCTGCTGAGGTGAGATAATATATTTAATTTTTAGACTTAAAAAAAACAGATAGCTACATCCTGCCTCATACAATATCCAGAATCTGAAGATGTGCAAAGTAAAGCATATGCCAGCAGATAAAGCTGTTTTCCAATGAGTTTGTTTATTTTCCAGAAAGATTCCATTTCCTTTCCTCTCTGAGAGAAAAATAATCTTTATACTACTTTCATTTTTTTAAAGAGAGAGAGAGAGAGAATTTTTTAATATTTATTTTTCAGTTTTCGGTGGACACAACATTTTTATTTTTTATTTTATGTGGTGCTGAGGATCGAACCCAGCGCCCTATACATGGCCCCACGAATACCAGGCGAGCGTGTTACCGCTTGAACCACATCCCCAGCCCCCTGCTGTCATTTTTGGTAATGACAAGTGCCTGTCTTTAGAATATTCCTCTTCTTGTCAGAAAGTCAGAGAGACCCAGAGAACTGGGAAGGATCTCCTGACCTATGATTGAAAAGAGCTAGATTAGCAGGTGGGAGATGGTACAGGAAAGGAGAGGTTAGAAAGTTGTGGATGGAGAAGGAAAGGACCAAGAGGTCTGGAATCTGAGCTGTGGCCCTTGGAGCACTGCTGGTCCAGAAAAAAAAGGTGGGGGTGTCACTCCTTATGAGTCTGATCTTCTTCTGCCCCAAGGATAGCAAAGTGCCAGAATTACACTTGGACTTGGTAATGGTTTAGTGGATCATACAGACTTTCCTCTGTGATAATTAAATGATGAGAAGCTGATCTTGTGTATCTTCATTTATACTATGAGTGAACTTCTTGGCTATAAAGGAAAAGATATTGTATTAGTTTATCTGTTGTTGCATTATACATGATCACAAAATTAGTAGCTTAAGAAGCAGCACTCATTCATTATCTCACTTTCTGTAGGTCAGGAACCTGGGCACATTATGACTACATTCTGTGTTCAGGATTTTTCAAAGCAGCAATCCCTGTGCTGACTAGGATATATTCTCATCTGGAAGCTGAACTAGAGAAGAATTCACTTTCAAGCTCATTCAGATTGCTGGCAGAATTCCTCCTTAGAACTGGAGGATTTAGATCTTTATTTTCCTGCTGGCTTTTGATGAAAAAAAACCACTCAGTTCCTAAAGGCCACTTATAGTTTCTTGTCATGTGGCCTTCTCCATAGGAATTTTTACAATAAGGCAGTTTACTTTTTCAGAGCCAGCAAGTCTGCTAAGATGGAGTCTTATATAACATAATATAATCATGGAAGTGACATCCTATCACATTTGCTATATTCTATTGATTAGAAGCAAGTCACAGGTTCCACCCACACTTATGGAAAAGGAGAAACTCACTGAGGAGTACTGCTCCAGTGTATCCACCAGAAAGCATTTTGCCTTTCTCAGAGGTTACTTTCCATTTACTTACTTTGCTAGAGATCTGTCTAGGCACAATAGAATATTAGTGCATTTTCATGTGTCTGTGTCATACTGAAAAACTCAGGGAATATAATGCACATAAACAGGAAGTAGAAGAAACTCCTCACCTATTCAAAGGAGATTTTGACTATGGAGTGGTGATTTAAAACTTTGTTGCCTTTCCTTGTAGGACATAAAACAACTCAAGCACTTTGGATTTTGAGGCCTGTGGCCTCCAGATCAGTGGGAGTAACAGTCTTTTGTTGGAAGAATTGGGGAATCTGAGCTGTTAGAAGCAAGTTTTTTCATTTGTATTTTGCATTGTGTTATAAAAGGGAGAACCTGGTGATATTTCTATGACAAAACTAGCCTTGGCATTAGAAGAACTTGATTCCATGTTCTGCTTTGCTTCATCCCTTTGAAATTATTTGTGTTATCAGCATTACATGATTATTTTCAAACCTACCTCCCATAGCTAAATTATTGAAGATTTTTGTACCAAGAGTTGTATAGTAGATCATCTAATAACAATTAGATTGGATTATCTACTATTATTGGATTATGCCCAAACTTGACTCTTCCTGGATGTTTGTTCGAAATACTAATTCCAGACCAACTCTATCCTGTGGTACTAGTGCATTAATATTTACAAGGAAGGTGCCTGGGATCTAGTTTTTAAAATTGATATCAGATGATTTTCATGATAAGGTACCTGGGGAAATCATGTTTTTGTTGCATTCCCTTAATGGTATTAAAAAGTAGGTATTCTGTTTGCAGGTGATGAATCTGAGGCTTATAGAAGTTACTTATCCTGGGTCATCTGAATAAGAGCAGAGCCAGGCTTGGTGGTGCACACTTGTAATCCCAGATACTCCAGAGGTTGAGGCAGGAGGATCATAAGTTAAAGGCTAACCTTGGCAACTTAGCAAGACCCTGTCTCAAAATAAAAAATAAAAAGGATTGTACTGGGAATGTAGCTCAAAAGTAGTGCTTGCCTAGCATGCATAAAGCCCTGGGTTCAATCCCCAGCACCACAAACAAAGGAAAAGGAAAATAAAAAGGTTCAGGCATGTAGCTCAGTGGTAAAGCACTCCTGAGTTCAATGTCCACTATTGCAGGAAAAGAAGGAAACAAAGAACAAATAAAAGAAAACTGAAATTTAGGTTTGGATTCACCCTGAATCCTGTCCTATTAGCCTAATCCTGTCCTAATATGCATTGAACAATTATGCAGGGCATAATAATTGTTTATATTTATTGAAACTTTGTCAGTTAAGAAATATGAGACAGCACTAATATTATCTTATGAATAGCTATAATAAAAGTTTCCATAATTAAGTGAGAGCAGAATTTGAAAATAGAACAGTTGCCTAGAATTGAACAAGGGCTGGGAACCCAGACAGGAAGGAGAACGTGGAAGGACTCTTGGTAAAAGAAGAGAAGTGGAAGTAAATGGGAAGTGGCAAAGTTGACAAGCACTTATTGCTTTATTTTTTTTTTCAGTACTGGGGATTGAACCCCAGGGGTGCTCTACCACTGAGCTACATCCCCAGCCCTTTTTTATTTTTTATTTCGAGACAGGATCTTGCTAAATTGCCTATGCTGGCTTCGAACTTGAGATCCTCGTGCCTCAGACTCCCGAATCGCTGGGATTACAGGCGTGCGCCACCGCGCCCGACAACAAGTATACACTGCTTACAGGTGAGGCTGAGGGCAGCCATCAAGGAATAGTTGGAACCACTGTGAATTCTTTCTTCCTATTTGCGTCTTAAAACAAAAACAATATCACCTTTTGTTGCTTTCTCAGAGTATCCATTTATGTGACATTTCTTTTCAGTTTTTTTTTTTCTTTTTGTGGGGTGGGTGGTTAGTACTAGGGATTCAACCCAGGGGCTTATGCAAGGTATGCAAGGTAGGCAAGTGCTCTACCACTGAGCTACATACCCAGGCCTTTTTATTTTTTATTTTAAAACAGGTCTCCCTAAATTTCTCATACTACCTTCGAACTTGTGATCCCCCTGCCTCACTCTCCCAAGTAGCTGGGATTATATGATGCACCCCTATGCCCATCTATTTCACATTTCTATTAGCAAAGTATCACTTTTCTGTTCAAATCTGACTTTCTAGGTTCTACTTGCTGTTCCCATTTGTTTCAAACAATTGTTATAAAGCTCACTTAAGAAATATAAATAACTTCCTTTCATGTGCAAACAGGGACAAAACAAAATTAGACTGCATTTATTTTGTTTGGTAGCCTGGATGAATTCTTCAAGGGCTACCTTAGTTTAGACTTCAAAATACAACCCAAACAAACCCTGATAAAAGAAAACATATCACACTTTGAAAAGTAAATAAAGATATTTGCTTAACTGAACATAGTGCACTTTTCTGGTATTGTCATTCATCTTTTATATCAGTTTCCACTTGTCTGGAATACTTAGGGGCATTGAGAATTAGTAACTTATCCTCTTTTACTTGATAGTTTTGAAAAACATACTTTTATCATCTAAACATTAGTGATCGTGTAGATTTAGCCACATGTTTTTTTCTAATAATCTTCCTATTTGGGGATTTTAAATTTACAGAAAAGATGCAGAGATAGTATTGAGAGTTCATGTATAACCCACATTGGATTTCCTTTTCCCTGAATGTTAACTAACATCTTACATTACTGTAGTACATTTGTCAAAACTAAAAAAGCCAGATTGTTGAAATGAACCCAACTTTTTGTATAACCATTAAGCACTAATTTTAAAAATCACCCTCAAAAAAAACTAAAAAAGTCAGTACAATGCATTAATATTAACTAAACTCCAAGCTTTTGGGGATTTTTGTCAGTTTTTTCCACTAATATTCCAGTATTCAGTCCAGGGTACAACATTATATTTAGTTATCATGTCTTCTCAGTTTTCTCTGAATTGTGACAGTTTCTGAGTTTTTCATTACTTGAATGGTACTATTGAATATCCTGTAGAATTTTCCCCAGTCTGTCTTTGTCTGATGTTTGTCTTACAATGAGACTATAATTAAGGTTTGGGAAAAGAATACAACAGAGATCAAGTATCCTTCTCATTGTATTATATAAAGGGCTTATCATTTGGTTAAGGTAATATTTATGAGGTTTCTCCATTGTAAAGTTCTTCTTTTTCCCTTTCCTATTTTGTTCTTTGAAAGCAAGTCACTAAGGGTGACCTACTCAGACCCAGCAATGATTTTGGGCAAGGATTAAGCTTTACTTCTTGAAGGGAAGAGTTAGTTAGCATATATTATTTGATAATCTTCTATAAAGAAGTTTTATGTCTTCTTCCTGGTTTTAAAAAAATTATTTATTTATATCCATATGGGATCACATATATTTACTTTATACTTCAGGGCATATGAGCTGGGAATATAGCTCAGTTGGTAGAGCGCTTGTCTCACATGCACAAGACCCTGGGTTCAATCCCCAGGACCACAAAAAAAAAAAAAAAAATCTACTTCACGGCATAACCCAATACTACATACTTTATTGTGCTGCTAAAATTGTTCTAAAGTCAGTGAAACCATCTCTATAATTTTTCTCTTTTTAATTCCATTAATTTTCATTCTTTTTTAATGTTTATTTTTTAAGTGTAGATGGACACAATACAATGCCTTTATTTGTATGTGGTGCTGAGGATTGAACCCATCCTGCCCGTGCTAGGCAAGCGCTTTACCACTGAGCCACAATCCCAGTCCCATCATTCTTTTTTAAAACAACATTTATTATTTGAGCTAGTCCCAAAGTCAAAGGTCAAATGCTTTCTCTGATATGTGAAAGCTAATCCAAACTAAGGTGGGGGACATAAAAAAGAATAGAAGAAAGATAAGTGGAGTATACAAAGGGGAATGAGGGGAAGGGAGGAGGGATGAGATAGGAAAAGACAGAGGAATAAATATGACTAACTTTCCTATGCATATATATGAATATACCATTGTGAATCTCACCACTGTGTACATCCACAAGACACTAATTTTAAAAAACTTTTAAGTGAATAGCAAAAAGATCAGCAGAAGGAAAAGAATAGAGGGAGGGAGGGAGGAAGGGAAAGGGTAAGTACTGAGGACTAAATTAGAACAAATTATATTCTGTGCTTTTATAATTACATCAAAATGAATCTTATTGTTATGTCCAGCTAAAAAGGACCAATGATATTTTTTAAAATTTTTATTATTTGACTTTTCCAAACTTTTTGCTGTAGTTTTTTCTTTTTTCTTTCTTTTTGGGGTTTGGGACTGGAGATTGAACTCAGGGCCAAGCACATGCTAGGTAAGTGCTCTATCACTGAGCTACGATTATATCCCCAGCCATGATTTCTGTTCTTATTTTTATTATTTTCTTCTTCTTCTTGATCTAGGTTTATTTTGCTCTTTTTCTAGATTCTTGAGGTGGATGCTTAGGTTTTGCTTTCATTTTTGTTGTTGTTGTTTTGGTCCAGGGTGTTTTTGTTGTTGTTGTTGTTGTTGTTTTGGTACTGGGAATTGAACCCAGGGTCACTTCAATACTGAGCTACATCCCAGCCCTTTTTATTTTTTATTTCAAAACAGAATCTTGCTGAGGCTGGCCTTTCCTGCCTCAGATGCCCAAGTAGCTGGGATTACAGGTGTGTGCCACCATGCCCTGCTTACATTACTAATTTGAAATTTTTCCTCTTCTCTGATATAAGAATTTTAGTTCTATTAAATATCCCTTAAATGCCATTTTAGCTGCATCCCACTAATTTTGATGTTTATTTTCATTAAGTTTAGAGTAGTTTTTTATTTTCCTCAAAACTTCTTTGACCCTTGGATTATTTAGAAATATGTCGTTTCATTCCCAAGTGTTTAGAGACTTTCCTGATTTCTTTTTTTATTTTTTTAAATTTATTTATTACATACATGACAATAGTGGAGTGCATTACATTTATAATTATCCATCCACAGCACAATTTTCTGTAACTCTGTTCACACCAAATTATTCCATTATACATGAGCTCTCTTATTTTTTTGCATACAATTCTTAATACACCTTTATACCACCATTTATCATATCTCTTTGTATATAAGGTATGTTGACCCCAAATTCACATCTTCATACATGTATTTTGTATAATGATGACCCTCTCCTTCCATCATCTGCTATTACTGATTTCTAATTTTATTTTATTATTTCCAGACAATATTCTAGGATTTCACTTCTTTTACATTTGTCAAGGTTTGTTTTATAGCCCAAAATATTTTTTATCTTGGTGAATGTTCTGTGAATACCCAGAAGGAATGTATATTCTGCTGTTCTTGGGTCCTGTTGATTGATCACATTCTTCTGTATCCTTACTGATTTTCTACCTAGTCATTTTATTAATTGTTCAGAGAGTACTATAGAAGTCTCCAATTGTAATTTTGGATTTATCTATTTCTTCTCCCAGTTCGATCAGTTTTGCTTTATGTATTTTGAAGCTCTATTGTTAGATGCATACATAAATTGATCCTTTTATAATATAATGTCCTTCTTTGTCTTTGGTAATTCTGTTTGCTATGAAGTCTTCACTATTTAATATTAATATGGTTTCTAGATTTCTTCTGATTCGTGTTTATGTGGTATATTTTTCCATTCTTCTACTTTTGATCTATATAATGATTATATTTGAAGTGAGTTTCTCATAGAGTTGGGTTGTTTTTTTAAATTCACTCTCTTGCTGTCTTCTAATTGTATTTAAACCATAACTTTTGGTATGATTTGGCTTAAATATGTCATTTTACTGTTTGTTTTCTATTTGCTCTCTGTTGATTGTTGTTGCTCCTATTTTATTTTCTCTCTTCTTATGGGTGATTTGAATAAGTTTTTTAATCCCGTGTTGATTTATCTATAGCAATTTTGAATGTATATCTCTATATAGATGTTAGTGATTGCTTTTGGTGTTATCTTTTAGATACATAACATCAGTCTATTGATTTCTACATTTTACCATTTTAAATGAAATATGGAAATCTTACCATTTATATGTATTTATCTACCCTTCCAACCTTTATAATATGAAATTGCCTTGTGTTTTGTTTTCTCTTACATTGAGAACCACATTAGACAATGTTATATTTTTTTCAGTCATCAAACTTTAGAAAACTCAATAGGATAGTCTGCTGTATTCACCTGTATCTGTATTCTTGCTTTATTCCTGATGTTTCAATTTTCCTTTTTTTGTTCATGCCCTTTCTGCTTAAAGAACTTCTTTGGTCATTTGTTTAGGGTAGTGTTAAATTCTCTTTGTTTTCCTTATCTGAGGATGTCCTAATTTCACCTTCTTTCCTGAATGATATTCTTGCTTGATAAAGAATCATGGTTTGACAGTAATTTTCTTTCAACACTTGAAAAGTGTTCTGCTCCTTCCCTCTAGCCTCCATAGTTTCAGAAGAGAAATTTGATCTTGTTCAAATAGTTGTTCCACTCTAGGTAACTAGTCATTGATTTTTCTTGTGCTTTCAAGAGTTTTGTCTTTTGTTTTCAAAACTTAGATTATGACGGATGGATTTATTTTCGCTTATACTGTTTGAAGTTTGGGCAGCTTCTTGAATCTAGAAATTTATATCTTCTGCAAAGTTTGAGAAACTTTTAGCCATTATTTCTTTGAATATTCTTCAATTTCACCTTATTTCTTCTTTCCTTTTGGGACTTAAGTTGCATGAATATCAGATATTTTGTTGTTTTC